GAAATAAATTAAATCGATCATATTCAATTGATTTGTTATTAAACGAAAAAACTAATCGACGAACAGATGAATTTATTTCATCAAAATCAACAGATTCAATATTTTGTTCAATGTCAGATAAAAGTTCAAGATTTATTAAAGATTTTTTTCATTATTTTATTTCGTCAAAATCAAATATTTTACCAAATAAAAATCTTTCAACTCCATGTCGTAAGTTTTTTTTATTTTTTTTTTATTTTTATTTAAAATAAATTTTTTTTTTTCTTTTTTTTTAAATAAAAAATAAATTTAGTTTTAAATAAAAAAGATGAAAATGGAAATAATAATTTTAATGAAAAAACTTCATTAATAAAAACAAAATTAATTCAACGTGAACAAATTCTTGAAAAACTTAAACAAAAACTAAATCAAGTTGATCAACAACTTTTATTATTTAACAAATCATTACAAGAAGATAATTCTTTTTCTTCTTCACATTCATCACCTTATTGTTATTTATCTTTATATGCCTTAGAACTTTTGTGATTTCCTTTTATTTTATTTTATGTTTTTTGTGATATTACCTTGTTTTTTTTTTGTTTCTGTATTTGAATCTATTCAAGTGTGATAGAAATATTCATTTAATTAGATACAAAAAGAAAAAAAAGATTTTTTCGTTTGTTTGTTGTTTTCTTTTTTTTTGCATGATCAATGGGATCTTTTTCCATGGATAATGAAATTCTTATGTACAACTAGCATATGTCATTCGCATCAGTTGCAATAAACAGACGACTTATTATTGCTGCTTCTGTCGAAAAACACAAACGTCATCATAGGTCTCTCTGTCTCTCTATCTCTCTATCTATAATAATAGTTGCTTTTTTATCTCTTGTTATGTGTTTCAACGTCATCGATAAAAGGCGAACAAGAGGAAAAATGTGCAGCAGCATTATCAACCAACAGCTAGACGAAGTTAATAGGAAAAAGTCAGACATTAAATATAAAACAAGATCGACTATTAACTTTTTAACTTTTCTTTTTCCTTCTTAAAATAATTCATTAATCTTCAGTTAAATTGACTTTGACTTTGACTTTGACTTTGACTTTGACTTTGACATTAATTATATAGATTATTTATATTAACAGACACAAATCATCAAAAGGTAATAAAATATTTTTATTCTTTACTTATTGCAGTTTTCTTTCATTTTCGAATATAAATATGAAAAATTCTTTTTTAAATTATCAATTTAAAATTTATTTTGATTGAATTATATTTTATTGATTATTCATCTACGTAGAATATTGAGTAATTATCATAATTCTTGATAGAATCAACTTATCTATAGACTTGTTTAGTTTTATTATCAAAGAAACTTTCTCCTTTTTATGCTTTATATAACAAAACAAAGTAAAATAATTGTTTTATTATGTATAATTAGTATAAGATATGTTTATTTAAGGATAGATATATTGATATTTATGTATGTAGAAATATTTGATTGTAAGAATAAATATGAAAGGTACGTTCAAATTTTGTATTAATAATATATCCGTTTTATTTAATCCGTAAGTAATATATTCTTATTATTAAATGATTATATTAAATAAAAATAAAAATAAAAAACTAGTGACATCTGTTTGAGAATGTAAATGATTGAATTATTTAAGTAACCATTGAGAAAGAAAATGGATTAATATTACGATTGTTTCGTTATTTATTTTTTTTTCTATAAAATCTTAACGACTAAATTAATTTTTAGATAAAAAGAAAAAAGAAAAAAGAAAAAAGAAAAAAAAAATGTTTGGTATAATGAGGCAATGAAGAATATTTTCGATTGTGATTATATAAAAAATTTGAAATTCGATAATTGTAATTGTCTTCGGACAAGTTAGTATTAATATTCTATCTCAAAAACAAACAAAAATGTTTTCATTTTCAAACTGATTTATATAAATTGTGTTGATATTGTCTAGTCTATTGTTTATCTTTTGGTGATTTTTTTGTATTTGACGTTTATTTTTTGATTGAGTCTTTCATATAGAATTGTTTGTTTTTGTTTTGTTTTTGTCTTATTGAAATGACAAGTAATCATTATGAAAAAGATACTAACAAAATGCGTTTTTTTGATGATGATGGTTATCGACAAAGGGCTGCTTGTATTTGTGTAAGAAGTCAACATGAAGATGAAGTAAGATAAACAAAAAAAAATATTTTTTCTTTTTTTGTTTTTTTTTTTTTTTTAAAAAGATATTATTAATAACATCTCATCGTGATAAATCATCATGGATATTTCCAGGTGGTGGTGTTGAACCAAACGAAAGTACGATTGATGCTGCTCATAGAGAATTATATGAAGAAGCAGGTGTTAAAGGACGTATTCTTCGAGAATTAGGAATTTTTGAAAATCTTGAAAGAAAACATCGAACAACTGTTTTTACTGTTTATGTTGAAGAAGAATATGATGATTGGGATGATAAAAGATTAATTAATCGACAAAGACATTGGTATAAATTAAAAGATGCTGCTTCATTATTAAGAATTTATAAACCATCTCAATTAAATTTTTTGGAACAATTTATCTCAACATCACCTAATCATATTAATTTACTTCATCAAATGTCTTCATAATTTTCATTTCTGTATCATTTTCTTGTCTTCGTTTTTTTTTTGTTTATTTAAAGAAAAACCAAAAACATAATAGATTATTTGGGCTTTGTTTTTCTATTGAAGATGCTAGATGTAATTTCTATGTTTGGTGTTAAAATTCATCTTCATCGTTCATTATCAATTATGGCTTTAATAATTTGTTTTTTGTTAATTATTATTTTATATTCTCAAAGAAAAAAATCGTCAATTGAAAAATTCGAAATTGATAATGATGAAGATATAAATTTGATTGATTTATTTAATGATGCTTTTAAATTAACATATCAAGCTGGACAAACAATTAAAATAATAAAAAATAGAAAAAAAAATTTTAAGAACAGTTTAAAGAAAAAATCATTTAAAAATTTACCAAGTGAACCTGTTACAATAGCAGATTTAGTTTCACATTCAATAATAACTAATGGATTAAAAAATAAATTTAAAAATCTTCAAGTATTTTTCTAGTTTATACTAAAAAAAAGAATTAAAAAAAAAAAAATAAAAACCTTTTTTTTCTTTTTTATTTAAATTCATTTTCCAAGATTATATCAGAAGAAAAAGATCCAATTAATAATGAAGTTTTTCAATTAATTCAACAAGAATTTAATATTGAAAATAAATCTCCAAATATTCCATTTATTAAAAATGATCAAAATTTAATGACAGTTCCATTATCATCAGTTGCTATTTGGCTTGATCCTTTAGATGCAACCAAAGAATTTACAGGTTTTTTTTGTTTTTTATTTATCTTATATAGAATTTTTTCATCCGAGTTTCATAATAATTAACAAGACCAATTTATATACACATGAAATCTTTTTAAAAAAAGTGTAAATCCTCTTGTTCGAAATCTTTCTTTTTAAAATTTTAATATTAATTCGATCAGAAATATCTAAACGATTGTGTAAAACAAAGATTCAATTTGATTATTTTCATTCTTTTGCTAATGATAATCGAATTTGGATAGTAACATTTTTCTTGATGAAATTTCGAAAAAAACAAAAATGATTAGATTAGATTATTGAAATTGTTTGATAATATGAAATATAAAATATTAAAAATAACTTTTTAAGTTCTCATATTTGCATATAACTTGATTCATGAATTGAAATAAATTTTTTTTTTTATAAAAATGATTCTTAATAATAGAGAAATAAAAAAGAAAACTATTTTATATGTTGCATTTAATAATTGATTTCGAGAGAAACTCTAAAAATATTTGATTAAAAATAGAATAAATTGAGAAGGACAACATTAAACAATGGGATTAAATAAATCGTCAGAGTCGCAAAAAAGAATCATATTTATAAAGAATGAATTGAATTTACAATTCATTGAATCATTTTTTTTTTTTTTTTTTTTCAGATAGATCAATAAAAATAAATAATAATCTATTTTTCATTATAAACGACTGAAAGGTTAAAGATTAATAGAGTAAACTTATAGAATCGTTTAATAAAATATTTTTTGAGTAATTTATGTTGAGAAAAAAAAAAGGAAAAACTTGATTTAATTTAATTTAAAAATTCCAGCTGTTCTTTCAAAATGAATCCCTTTTTTATTATTCTGATGATTTCCTAATCACGATAATATATTCTATATATTAGTATTATATTGTTTTCTTTTTCTACTATTGGAAGATGGATAATATATATTGATAAAATATGTCATTATCGACTTATTCTCTTTTTAACTTTGTACATTGGGATCTGATATGGATAATAATTATTCAATAAATAATGTAACATTACGAGAATATATTACTTTAGTCATTACTTAAAATCTCTTTTCTTTTTTTTCTTCTTTTGATTAACATCAACTTACTAAAGTTGTACTTTGATATTGATCGTAAATCAGCATTGAGTACATCTGTATAATTTTAGATAAGATCGATTCATATAGATTTATGTTTTTTCTCTGTAATAAAATATTAAAATAAACTTTTAATCTATAAAAATAAAGTATAAAAGATGTTCCTACATAAAATACGCAATATAAGTGGAAATTAATGCTTAAAATATACATTCATGTATGTTTTTTTTTATTCTTTTAATTATTTTGTTTCTATAAATAGTACTAAATTAACATCAATGATAAAACAAGAAAAAGAATTTTCTTCAGAAAAGAAAAAGAAAACATCATAAAAAAATTTTTCCTGTACAAAGTAGATTTACCTATATTTTGCATCAAACCAAATTTTTCTCTATTTGTCAACAAAAAAACAAGTAGATTGAAAAATAATATCGAATATATTTTTACAATTGGAGAGAAAATTGAACTTAAATTTAAAACATATATTTTATTTCGAATGTTTATTTAAAAAAAAAATATTGATCATAAACAAAAATAAAAAATCGATCATTAAACATATTAGTTGATTATTTAGAGGATCTTCTTGAATATGTCACGGTTATGTTATGTATTACAATCGAAAAAAAACCAACTATTGGAATTGTTTATGCACCATTTACTAATAAATTAAGTAAATTTATAAAAAGAAGAAAGAAAAATTTTAATAAAAATCACTGAATAAATTTATTTATTTTTTTAGCATGGGCTTGGGTTGGTGTTGATCATTCACCTATTAAACGAGATGAAAATATTCTTTTAGAAGTTCATAAACCAGGTATTGATGAAATAATTTTATCTCGTTCACATGCTGGTCATGCTCATGAAATTCTTAAAAATATTTATCGTGATAAACAATATAAAATTATTCCAGCTGCTGGATCAGGTTTACTTTTCTATTTTGTTATTTTCAATTGTTTATTAATTCATTTTAATTCTTTAGGTTATAAAACAGTTCAAATATTAGAAGAATATGCTGATTATTATCTTCATATAACTCCAATTAAAAAATGGGATGTTTGTGCTCCAGATGCTATATTAAGAGCAAATCATGGAACTATGACAACACTTAAAAATCAAACTATATCTTATGATCATAAAAATAAAAATATGTTAATTACTGACGGACTTTTAGCAACATATAAAAGAAATCATAATGATCTTTTGAAATTTTTTGAAGCTTCGAATCTCACGAAGTATATTTTTCAAAAAAAAGCAGATAATTAAATTTTCTCACTTTCTGTGAATTTTCATTGTTACGTTTTTTAGCAAAATCTTTTCTTTTTAATAAATAAAGAACAAATAGCATTATCATTCGATTCTTAAAAACAACTTTTTTATATAACTCATCGAAATTAAAATTCAATAAAATGTTCTTTTAAATAATATCTTATTATTTTTATAATGACTTTATTTAGTCTCTTATCTATTCGATTTTATTTGAAAATATATTATTTTATTAGACATCGTGACAATATTTTCTAATGCATCAAACAACCTTCTCAAACTTTTCCTTTTTCTTTCTCTCATATTTGTTAAGATTGACATTTCTTAGTTTTAGTTCGAAATAAAATTAAAATAAACAATACTAATCAATGTTTTTATCATATATCTATACTTGATGATCAACAATAAATAATATTCATTTTAATTAATTCAATGAATCATAATTAATTATTATGTCTAAATATGATAATTACTAGATAAGTTATATTTATTTTTGACAAAGACTAGATCTTTTCTTAATAATAAACAAAAAAAAAAAAAGAAATTATAAAATATATATTTTTATTTTATAAATTCGAAATTTTCAATCTTTTATTAAGTGATCATCATCAATAAGAAGATGACCAAACATAAATGAAAATTAGTCTATATTATATAAGAGCAAATAAAAATAAGGAAAAAAAATGAAAAGAGATGAACATGATAAAATAAGAAAAACAAAAAACAAAACTATATAATCATATAATGATTAACATACTTATTGTTCGAATTTGATTTATAATCAATATAAGTCATGTTAATAATTAAAACAAATATAATCATATGATTCATCATAAGAAAATTTAATTATATATTAAACCTAAAATAAAAAATTCATAATCTTATAACATATTATAATCATAAGAAAATAATCAACTTAAGTATTTATGTATATCATCATATTAATATAANTAGTTAAACGATGAAGTTTAGTGATTGACTTTTGATATATTTTCTTTGATTCATTCATGTTCGAATCACCGATATAATAATAAAATTTTGATTAGTTTCGTATTATGAATGTAGCAATGAACTTTTTGGTTTTATTTGCAGTGTACCTGGTCTTGAATGCGCGATACTTTTCTTTCAATGAAGCACTAACTATTCTCTGAATTTGATTAACAAGACTCAACAGCGGTGGCTTTCGAACGTTCACATTTCATTATTAACAAACTAAAATAAAACTTCACCTAAACAATTATTTTGTTTACATGATCTGTGATTGAAAGCTTATTTCCGGTAATAGATATACTGTGGTTGAAACTTTATTTAATTGCTTAACTTTTCGTGGAAATCATTTTATTTAAGTTGTATTTGTTGTTTGTCAGTCGAATGAAGAAAAGAAAAATTCTATAATTTCAATGCAGACCTACTGTAAAAGAAGCAAAGACGTTGTGTTGGCTACACTTTGTAAACCTTGACTATTCTTTGAAAATATCAACGGAAAAAAATTGACATAGACATTCGAAAATCTTCTTATCAAAATTGTTTACGCACACAGAAAAAAGTCACATGTTACTTAAGTAATGCCATGAAAACAGACATTTACTACCCAGTGATCTTTAAAATCAAAGATGTATCATTTAAATGGTTATTTTCGAAATTTTCATATTTTTATCTATTTCAGAAAAATTACAAGCATTCCATTAGTTTCGTTATACTGACATCATTCTCATTTCATGAATCCAGTTATTTCGCAAAAGTTTAAACTAATTGCATTCGTTTCATTAGTTTGACATCATTTTCATTACGTGACTTTGGTTATTCCAAAAAACTGAAATCATTACATTAGTTTTGTTCTTTCTGCGTCATTTTCATCATATAATTTTAATACTTTTGAGAAACTGGAATCATCACATTAGTTCTACTACTTTTCACCATTTTCTTTCCATGATTTCGATCATTTTGCTAAAGAAAAATCAGTAGATTCATTTTATTACTTTTACATGTAAAACACATAATTTCAATCGTTTTTCAAATGATGAAAAAGTTGTGTCCTTTGTCCAAAGACAAAGATTTTTAGTCGATAACATTGGTGTGAAAAACACCTAAGTTTCATGATTTTTTTTGGAAAATAAACGATAAAAAGGATTAATTTGAATCTTATCTACAGATTCGGTCTTATACATATGACTTTCTTAACAAGCGAAATGTATTAGGACAGAGACCATGTCGTATTCTACTTTTTCTGAAGCTTGTGAAGTATTTTTAATATTATAAGTACTTTGACACTTTATACGATGTTGGAGTAAAATGAACTTTTGAAAAGTTCACCACATATCCTCTCGAAAGATAATCAGTCCAGACTTGTATAAAAGTGTAGGTTCAACTACCCACTCAGATCGGTAGTTAAATCAAGTGAAATAAAAGTTATTTTTTTATTCTTTTCATGACGAGATTTTCGTGCACTTTTAATGATTTTCATTAGGTGACTTTCATGCAAAATTAATCATTTTCATGAATTAAAATTCTAATTTTCATCAATGAATTTTAAAAAACATCACAAATAATGCCCCTGTCATCATTGAAAATGGCATTTGTTTGTTTCCCACGAAAAAAAATTGCGAAAAAATCGCGGTTTTTTTTGGTCACGGGAGTCAGACCGTTTATTCATCTTTTCAAAACTGGTACAAATTGTGGTTTTCAAGAAATGCGATAAGACGCGGTTTCAAAAAACGGAATAAATGGTCTGACTCCCGCAGTTTTTCCAAGACGCGGTGCGACGTGTTTTTTTTTGGCATTATGATACATCGCGATTTTTCCAGTCATATTAAAGCAACCAGCTCTGGTTGCAGACCAGAAAACTCGTTTGAACTTCTACTGAAATTCAGGAAGGTCGCCTTTCGAGGGACTATGCAGTGAACTTTTTCCAGTGTCAGATTGATCATCTGAATATAGGAAATTTTCATAGAAATAGCGGGCATGACATCCTTCTCGCCGTTACACATTCTCTCATATTTGAATAAGTAGTGAAAGAAATGCATAATCGCGGTACACGTCGGTTTTCAAAAGACGCGGTAAGACACAGTTTCTAAAAAACTGAATACACGATCTGACTCCCGAGGCTTTCTCTAGGCGGATACGACGCAATTATTTTTGGACTGCGATATATCGCAATTTTTGAAACCGCGACTAACCGCGGTGAACCACGGTTTTACTCGAGAAATTTTTTCGTGGGTTCGCGTCATCATTTTTTACCATTTTTGTATCCGCTGGATAGCAAGTACTTAGTACGTAGAAAAAATAGCGCACACGCGACCTTCTCACACACTGCAATAGCTCTAGTGTGTTTTATTGAGTGTGAATCGTCACTCCCAAACCACGTTCTCCTTCCTCTTCCAGAGTTTACGGTTATTGTGCCGAACTTGATGGCGCTGATTAAACCAAACGTAAAAAAGACATTAGATGGAAAAAGCATCAGAGACTGATTTCGAAAACAAAAATGTCGAAGCAAAGTCTGTTGAAAAACTATCCGCAGGTTTCGTTAAAATATAGTACTCATTTCATATTCTTTACTTTTCTATTGAAGTAATCGTTTTTTCCGATAGTTTATTTTCTCAATAAATTACAACAACGAAGTGATCGATAGTGTGCAAGAATGTGAATAAGGAAGAGAACCGAATCCACATACTCATCATGAAAAATGCTATTTAAAGACAAAAAGACACCTTAATAAACGATAAAATATCTATTTTGCTTAAAACCATTGTTTTTACATATTCTCAAAAGTTGAGTGGACTTAGAAATTGTTTGATGTCTTAATTTTTTAGAATCTAACAAATAGCTTATTTTTTCTAGCACTTTGAAAGATCTATCGAGCAGAAAATGAGCGTTTGAATCAAAGTTTTATTGATACAATCAATGAAACGACTAATGTAATATACACGCACAATATAGATTAAAAATGTAGGCCATCGAAGATTTTTATTCTCTCTAGCCAGATCCCAATGCTCAGTATTACGGACAACATCGTCGATGATTACAAAGATTTATATCGCTATCTGTCACATTATTGCAGTGCAAATCTGTCAAAAGACAATGAATCGAGTTTCATTCCTTTATAAAACCTCGACGTGCAACCTTTTCTTTCCCTGTCTGTAGTTGGTGTCTTAATATTCTGTTACTGAGCAACAAATTGTTGATGTAATTCGCTTGTGCTAAAAACATTTTCGTTAAATATATCATCTCATCTAAAAATATTTTATTTCTTTGCCTGTTGCTATTGTTAGAAGCAATATAGAAAGATTTTTGTTTATTCTATTCTTCAAGCTGCATATGCATATAACAGAACACCTAAATTGGCTATATCTGAAAGCTCAATCCATTTCAATGTAGTGTTAAATCGAATTCTTTTCAAAAGAAAAAGTATGAACAAAAATCATTGATGCTTTGTTATAAATAAACACTTGAAAGGGGTCGTTTATACCTCATGATACAATGATATACTTCATTTAAATAATCAACACACCGACTATAATTGATCTATGCATAAATCAAGGAAATAAGGTGATGAAATTGAACGATGTGTTTTTGATATTTTTTATTAAATTTTTTCATGTCCGATCTATAAAAATATAAATAATCATTCTGATTAGTTTAATATTGTGGATGCGATAATAGGCATGGTTTCACGAGTTTCTTATGAAATAACAGATTTTCAATACTCGATGTTTATTTTTTGAAATAGCATTGAATTTTATCTGTACTTGATCATCAATGTTGATGTTTGATGCAGAAGGAACAATAACAAGAATAATTTTCGTAAATCAAAATGCCATTAGTAGTCTTAGGTTGTGGTACTATATGAAGCCTACTTGATTTCTTTTCTCTTGTTTCTCGTTATTATTGTCAATATCTTCTTGTGATATTTTGTCTTTTTTATTTCTCTTTTACTTTCCTCATGTCATGCATGAATATCTATATATTTATTTATATGAATAATTATCATTGTTTATTCTCGAAATAGACAAAGCATTAGTTGGAGTAAGATTAATCAACAGAGACGAACAGTCAGCGAACGATTTTCCAAGTTGTTGACGCGTGTTAATGATAACTTTGCAGGCACTTGTAAACAATAACAATCCAGCATTCATAACATACTCTGCGATTGCTATCGTTAGCATTTTTTCGTCGAAAAAATCTAATGTTTGATAATTATGTGTTGAAAGAATAAGAAAATATCGGTTAAAAAAAGAAGATACATCATGAATTAGATGAAACGTATTTTTCAAGATATTATACGAGTAGATCCCTTCAAGATCATATTGTTTATTTTATGTTGACATTGTTGATCGATCTACTTTCTTGTTATTGACAATAGCAATTAACTTGAATGATTGTTTTAATTATCTCATGACATTGATTTGAGTAATTGTTTTAGAGCATAAAAAAATCAGAATGACATATATATCGTTTAGAAAATGAGATATGATGAATTATCTTGGAAATGAATCGTTTATATACACAAAGTAAAACATTTTCTACAAGAATTTTAAGAATATGAATCAGTCAGCTTTCTCTTGTTTTCAATTTTTTTGGATAAAACGGAAAAAGACACAAAAGTGCAAACAAAAAAATTCAATTGTCTGTAAAATATAACAATCTCGAATACAATTATGAAAGTGTTTGATAATACTTTATCTTCATACAACCTTTTAAATATAAGCTGAAAATTTTCAAAGAAATAAAAATATCTCGAACGTAAATATCATTGATTCTCAACTCAAAAAATTCTTTTCTCTTTTCAAGATTTTCTCTAAACATTTAGGTTTTCGTCATTTAATAATTTTCTACTTCGTTAACTTTCCTAAGTCTTGAGGCACCACAAAATTAGTTTATATGTCAATAGGAAATAATCTCAAACCAAATGTTGTTTTATATGAGCTGCGAGTACACGTATCAAACTTTATGTAAGGACAAATTTTTCTCAATCGACCAACGTTACTGTTTCTTTATATATGTTTTTTTAATAGAGTACTGAAAAATCCTACATAACATATAGTGTAATAGAAACTAATAAGTATTTATCTTATTCGATTATTCCACCATCATTGCAATCCACTGAATACGTGCTCAGTTAAACAATATAGCTAGTAGCCAGATTGGAATAGATAAAAAATATATGAAAATATCGCGTGTAGAACGAAATACAAAGAACAAAGATTGTATTTCAAACTATTGATAAAACTTGTAAAAGACTTATATAATTAATAAGAAGTGATAATCAACAAATACGTAATAGTTAAATACGATTTTTGTGTAATAAAATTAATAAAATATTTCTTTTCGTTTTTTTTTCATAATAAAATATCTTATTGATCGATTGTGAAAAAAATTATTGTTATATTCTCATATTTATATTTTTATTATTAGAAGAAAAGATATTATCGTATAATATGTTATTTGAAAGATTGCAACAAGTACTTAAGGGTGATATAAAAGAAATTTGATTAGGGTTTATTTGCATGTCGTCATATAAACTCATTTTGTGACGCCTCAAGAATTATGAAACATCCCGTGAATGTTCTCAAGTAGAAAAGTCTATGAAACACTATAGTTATTAAAATAGTGGATAGAATCTATAAAGGTTTAATTCATTTGATTCTTTATGCTACATTTACTTGAAATTAACATCGTATAATATGACTGAACATATAGATATAACATTGGTTGAAAATAATCTTCGACATCGTTTTGAATATTTATCAAAATTTATCAATTTTACAGGAGATGATATAGCTATACTTAATGCTGTAGGAACACTCGCTGCTTCTCTTATTCCAATAATAGTTGATAAAATATTTGAAAGATAACTCGATTTTGATATAGCGAAACGTTATTTTCTACAGCGTCATTTTGGATTTACCGATAGTGTAACTGTTAATAAATTTGAATTAACATTAGAATCTGAACAAATGGTTTTTCATCGAAAAATTCTTTGTAAATATTTAACAAGAATTTTAAGACAAAAATTTTGGAATGATGCATTTCTGGAATACTTAGCTGATGTTGGAAATATTCATACAAAAATAGCTGGTTCACATTCAATCGATATTAATTACATTCATATAATTATATTATTTACTTATGTTGAACATATTCTTCTTGATACTGTTTTATCGAATCAACAAATCGATAAATAAATTAAAAAATCAGTTATTCTTTCATTAAATAAATTATTTTGGATTCAAAAATGATTCTTTTTTTGCATTATATTTGACAATCAAAATTTTCAAAATTCGAATGTTGTGTGCCAAAAACACGAGATGGAAAATTGGATTGCTTCTCTACTTAATTATATGTTGCATTTTATTTGTAGAAATCTTTAATAACGAACTTTGTATTTCGTTCATTCCTAAGAGAATGTTGGTGTGAGCTGTTTTGACTTTTGATTAATAAATAAATACTTTGGATCTACTTCGCTTGAAAGATTCTATACGAATGTTTTGCAAATATTGCTCTATGAGTGTTTCCTTAAGTTATGAGTTCGGACGAATCATCTCGTATCATGATTGACCTTTTGGTAACTGACGACGCATAAAATGTGTCACATATATGCGTCCTCAGCTTTCTCATCACATGAAACTAATGTAGTCACCTACAATGCATGTTTTTTCGATACATTTGCGTAATAGCAAACGTGAAATAACAGAAATGTTAAGCATTATCATTTTCATAACGAATCATGTTGGAGTTATGTGTTCAGACATGACAATGTGCGGAGTTTATAGTCACTATTTTACATATATGTATCTCTTGTTGGTAACCGAAGAGCTAATAGAATCGAATAAATACATAGGATAGTCAAAAAGTTCTGCAAATAGGTCTCTGATATTTCGCCCTCATCGTTTTTGTCCCTCATATTGGCTTATTCTGATAGCGATATCTGTTGTGTATTAAACTGCTAATACAAATTTTCACAAGTGTCTGTTATGGGAAATTCTTAGTAGATTTTTTAGTCATCTCTGACACCCACGCCCACACCCTCTAGAATTCAGATATTATAATTAACTGATTCACAAAAACTATTTCGTTGATCTTGCTCAATGGAATTTGGTTTATTTGATAAAGTAAACAGAAGTGAGTTAAGAACAAATAAACATGAATTCGCTTTTTTTGTTCAAACACAATAATATAATTTATACAAAAATAGATCGAAAAAGTCAGCCGAGCAAGTCTCTTAGTTTGGATGATAAACTTAAACCAGTAAGATTTATCTCATTGGAATATTTTAAAATACATTTTAATATTAAAGTAATTGATGATTGATTAAAAACGATCCAATTTTAAAAACAAAAAATCCCATTAAGTGAATATTTACAATAAACGTTGAATATGTATTCGACAATTGACTAAAGAGACTAAAAAACAACAACACAATTCATAATTATCTAATAAAGATTTATAAGATCAATCATTTAATCAAGAACAATCTATTGATTAGTCACATTTTGAACTTTTTTTCTTTCTATGAACATTCAAGTGTCTTTGTGTAGCAATTATGAATAATAAATCTATGAGCTCACACAAAGCTAGTAGAAAACAACTATTGTACATCAGTATTTTATGTTTTAGACAAATAATTAGAAATTCCGATAGAAAATTGACGAACATCTACTTTCATGAGGACACATGATATGTCGGATAATACTCACATTAACGATGAAAAAATTGGTTTACATATATATATATATCTAGAAAATTTGAGATGAACTATTTTCTCAAAATACGAATATCTTTGTAAACTTCGAAAAGAAAAATCAAGAAACCAAAACTATTGAGAAAACAGATCGAAGATTCCCACATGGAAACTCGATTTTCCCAATGAAAAACATTTTCTAAATTTATAATTTCTAGATTTTGTGATAATACCGATGATCAGATCACAATTAATAAATATTATATTATACTTTTAATCGGAGACCATTCACGAAATCATATATTCAAATGCATTCTTAGGAACTAGAATATACGCAATCCATTTGAAAAACTTAGTTTTTTTAATAGTTGTTTGATTATACCATTATAGGTAATAGGTTATATAAAAGATAATAGACAAGACAAAAAAAAATAATATATGGGAACAAAAATAATACAGATAAACAGACTGAGTATTGAACAAATGGCAGATCTAATTAAAATGAATTTATTTAAAGACATAAACTGACAACAAGAAAATGATAACGATCATAGAAATAATGTGAATCAGATTCTTTCTATATTAGTTTTGATGAGTAATAGATAAATAAATGAAAAAAAGAAAACAAATACAGCATGACACCACGCTTGATTGATCAAAAAAAGTATAAATACGTCATTGAAATATGTACAAACTATGATTTATATTTTCTGTATTTTGTTTTTATTACGTTTCATATTTGTTTATAAATATATTTGATCGATCAATTATTGCGATTTTTATATACGATTTACTTCTATCTACGTTGTTATGATCATTAAATATTTTTATTTCTACAAAAAAATATTTTCTTTTGTTTTTAGATTTTGAATTCGAAGAAAATATATTCTGATCAATTCTAAAATTTACTTAGGTCTTGACTTTTTCAATTGACGATATATTTCATTGATAAAATTAATTTTCATTTCAAATAATGAATAATAAACCAAAACCTGCACGACCCGTTTTTCATGCACGAAATTTAAATCAGTAAGTAAATCCTTTTTCTTCTTCATCACACATATAAAAAGAATTAATTTGATTTTAAAAAGACCTCATCCTAGACATGCTCATGGTCCTTCAACACGTCAACCTATGAACTTCTCACATCCAAGTAATGCTATTTCGTTGCATCATCATCATAAACATATATGAGTTTTTGTTTTTTCAGAACCACCATCATATTCTCGAGCACCTTGGGATGTAACACAATGGATTGATCCTATTGAAGCTCGACAGCGAAATCGACGCAGATAATGAAGAATAAAAGGTCGACTTTATTGTAATCATGAAAACATTTTTCAAACTTAAATAAATCATTTTTTATGCATCGAACAAGATTCTATAATATTATAAACAATAAATCATGAATTTTTTTGTAAATTCAAAGAAAAATTTTTCTTAGAAATAATCTAGAAAATATTCAACTTAATTTCGATGTATCACATGAATACGATGATGATTATCTATATAGAAGAATTACCCGATGGGCATCTTCACTCTGATACCTTGTTGATATTCTTCAAGACAAATTATCTTTCAAAGTTTTTCAAAATAAATTTATTTATAGAAAGCGACCAAATTTGGTCAAGAAAGAAACTTTAATTTTTCATTCAAAAAAGAATATTTTACGAAAGATAAATATTTATATCGGAAACATCACTGTTAAGTTACTCAGTGTATATAACATCTACTTAATCACATTCAATTGACCTATAAATCATAAGACAAACAGAATGAATCATCGACAGCAATTACAACAAAACTATGAAAATGAATATATTTTTAATTGTCGAACTGAAAAAGTCTCAAATCTATTCATTTAATCATGACAAATTGCAGCTATTTAGAAGATTTGGCACTTGTACACGATATGCACTGTCCTTACCTCCCATGCACATTGTGTTGTACACAAAAATCACTGTTCGTGGGTGAGAGGGTGCATGTTCCAAAGCTGCAACCGGTACGGTTTTTTTCTTACCGGTACCGTTCAGACCAAACCTGGCCAGTTGATAAATAGACATGAGTCAGTTTTCACATATTTCATCTTGTAAGAGTCAAATCAACTTCTTGATTAGTCAGTTATACCTACCTCTTAATCACTTCAGACACTCTTATAGATCATCAAATGAAATTGATTTTATAAGCAAGATCAATTAATTCTATATTCTGCTTTGTTAGTCGAACTCTTACTAATCAAAATATGAATTGTAAGAAACTAAAATGGAACAAAGAAATGAATTGTTGAATATATGGTTCATTTGAGATGATAATTGATATGATAGACCATCGTCAAGAACAATTTGACGTCTTCTACTCAAATTTCCATATTGTTTTAAATTAAGTACCAATACTAATGACGGTACAAACTGAAATTTCTTATCTGAACAAATGAAATTACCATTTATTTTTATTTTGTTTTAGTTTTTCTTTCATACCATGCTCATATTTGTTGGAAAGTTTTTCAAAAAACAAAAAATTTGCTTCATTACTAATTGAAGAAATATACTTTTGTTAAAACAAATGAATAAAATTTCTCTTAAATCTTTGATCAACATAAATTATTACATAAAGTGATATGCAAACTAGACCAAACCTAGAATTATATGATTAAACGACAAAAAAAACAAGTTAGATTTCAGCAAACTTTTTCTCTTTTGTGATATTGTGATTTATCTCCATTTAATTGAGTGAAATAGATTTGTCATGATTATTACGACTTAAGCAAAATTTTCGCTGCAAAAGTGCTTAAACAATATAATTTGAAAAGTGTTTATTGGTATACTTATCCGAATTGTGAGCTTTCCAATTTTCTGCTTGCATAACATTCAACATCATAAGTCTATCGGAGCAACAGAAGATTATGATAATATTCTTCATTATCACTGATTAAAATGTAATTTTATATTAATATAAATATTAATCATACAAAAAGCACTTTCTTTCGAGTGTAATATCAGTGTCAATATTTTTCTCGTAGTATAATAAGAACTTTGAATCATCGTAAATGTATTGATTATTGTTACGAAAAGTTAGCTAGCTATTCGAAGTGAAATTCAGTATAAATTAAAGATATTCCATGTCGAAATTTTGAGCCCTCTTTTCTGGAATGTTTTTAAATGACTATCAGAAATTCTAACTGTCTAGCATTTTCAATTCATGTTTTCGTTGCATAAATATCAGAAAAGGTTCCATTTTGTTGTCAAAACATCACCAATTCCTATTTCATGCAACTGTGACAATATCTGATATTAATAAATCTAAAAATATGAAGCCTGGTATAAAAATTTAACTTCGTAGCTTATTTTGTCTTTCTATCGGCAGTAGTAGCCTTAAACGAATTGATGTCTTCCAGTTATGTTAAAAAATGATTGAAATTAATAAAATCATGCAAACAAAGCATAGACGCCGTTCAATATTAGTTGTTATGAGTTAATAGATGAAAAGTTTTGAAACAGTTCTTCCTTTGTTCTTAGCGTTAGTGTATATGGAACACAACAAACTAAAATATAAATTGCTATTCTCAAAAGAACTAGGAGAATAATTTATACCCACAAATGTATCGATTTTTAACCGGTAAAATCTATAATTGAACCGGTCGGTTCGATCCGAATAAAAATAAAACCAAGTGGCTTCGAGCCTGATTTCTTTGAATATGGTGCAATAATCACTAGTCAATACTATATTGAACACGTTTTAGAACTATTGATTAAACATGATATTCCACTTTTATGCCTTGGTGATACACAAAAAACAAGATTTTTCATCAAAATGATGCAGCCGGGCATATAGTCAATTATATAATTGCTTACTTGAAATAACATAATATTCAATTTGTAACACTTGAAGAATAGTTATATAGGAGTCCAAATGCTTTTTCAATCGGCTTTTCAATTAAGGTAACCATGGAAGAATGACGCAGAAAAACGCTAGGTGCTAAAAATGAACCAATTGAAAAACTGTTGTCTAACAGGGGTTAGAGAAGCTCGCACAGGATGTAATCTATAATACTTTGG